TTGGTTAAGTTACCAGATGAGTTGAATATCTTCTCACAATATTTGCACTTGAAAGGGTTTCTCTCCAGCGTGCGTTCTTTTTTCTTTCTTTTTTTCTTTCTTTTTTTTTGTTTTTTTTTGTTTTTTTTTGGGCCGCCCAAGGGGGGGGGGGGGGGTTTGAACCCCCTAAACCCCCCCCCCCCCCCCCCCCGTAGATCCGCGCCTGGACAACCCACAACATAACACCGGCTACTTTGTCGTGGAGGCATAAAAACACTTTAAGTCTTGTTCCTGATACGCCCTCTGCCCTTTTGCCTTTTATATCTTTTTGTAGATTAACGTATACTATTAATTCATGAACTATTTGTATTTTGGTTGTATTAGTGATTTGTAATTAACTAATTATGTACATGTATTATTTTCAATTGCAAAGTTTTAATGTTAATTGATTTGATGTAATTTGTAATGCTAATTCCGTTTCCTTTGCTTATCAACTGTTTACCTTCTTAACCGCTTAGAGGCATAATGCAGTTTACGGTATAGAAATGAATCTTATTATTATTATATAGGATTTCCCGGCCAAATTCGCGAGTTTGTCAGTAAAATTAATTTGTCTTGCGTTCAAATTCGACGGTTTTAGTGCTGTTGGGTATATCTCGGGTTTATATTCCTTTTTCTAGATTTCAAATCTATGAAGTTTTCGTTAGAATCTATGTATGTTTCATTCAAATTAATGAACAAAGTGCTCATTTCGCTATTTGGTCATTCGATTTAGCGCAACACGATTTTCTGACATCGCGACGGTGTACTTCTAGCATTCTAATTCATTTGTAGCATTCAAATTAGCACTTTGTGCACTAAAATTAATGGTCAATATACATTTCTATATCATTTTATAGCTCATTCTTTTTCTTTCAAGATCGTTTTTCATGTGTATTTTATCCTATTTCATTTTCTTGCATTTATACTCTTTATATGCTTTTAGATTTATCAGATATTCACCAGCCTTTAAATTTGATTGCTTAAAAAAAAGACTTACATCTACGGACTTGATGGTCTCAATATTTGTGTAAACTTTCATGTAAGGAAGTTGTTTGTCTTGTGTTTCATCATAAATTTATCACAATTTCATTATGATGGAAGGGTATAATATTGTGACTGGGGTAGGTGTTTTTGTATCCCTACTTTTCCGGGTATATTAACATGTCCATTCAAAGATGCCATTTCCCTTGATTTCACCCCTTCTTTACCTAATGTCTGACTACAAACATATGGTTTTTCCTCAAAATTAATAAATTGCATAACAGAAAAGACCCCAATGGCAAATCATGTATTTAATTGCATTTTTAAAAAACTGTAAACGTGTGTTGCATTTCTTCCCCCTAAAATTCGTAACTTGAATAAACATAATTCGAATACGAATGACAGGTGTTAATTTGAACGATAAAAATGACGCCTCGACAAGTGACGATTAATTTGAATGCTAGTTGAGCAGTTTCTAAATTGAATGACAGATCTTTGAAATCCTTCGACCAAAATCCTAAATTACATACAAAATCGGAAAAATTGAATGATAATTGGCATGGCAAAGCTGATCTGCGCTATCTTAAATGCAAAGTAAATGAATTCGAATGACAAACTCGCGAATTTGGCCGGGAAATCCTATATTAAACACAACGACCACATGAATATGTAAGATTTTTTAGTATATTTTATAGACCACTTCACATGGACTACACATTCAGACTTTATTGGCTCAATGGCGTATTGAGGACATATTTGATGTACATGTATACAAATAGATTTCTAGAGATAACTTTTAAGTAACACCGCATATCACCATAGGTTTGTTGTCATATGATGGATAATTAAAATACCTTCCAGATTTTAAGCAGAATTTTTTTTTTTGAGGATATGAGGATATCTTTCCCTCCCTCTAATTTTGGCCAGTATCTCATAAAATTAACTGGAAGATGGTGATTGGACATTTAGTAATACGGATGGTTCAACGGATTAGGAGTGTTAAGAACAATTGACAAGTACATGCACTTCTACAAATTTCATATACCGGGTATTCATGTTCAATTCAATTTGTTTTATCAAACCATTTAAAATCAAAATCAGTATACAAATCATGCATGTATGAAAATTATTAATACAGTGTAAATGGTCAGGGTGCATTTGTCTTGGCCATGGGAAAGATTTTAGCAGAATTTGACCAGCAGTTAGAAGGGGGGTGCAACTGCCCGTGCCCACATTTTCTGAAACATCACAGAGTATAGAAGAAGTACTGCACTCAACATTCTTTGAAATTTCTGAATTACTAAATGTACACTGTAATTACACTGTAAATACAAGGTCCAACAGAAATTATGTTCTATGGGGTTTTGGAATCCTCAACAGAATTAACAGACTAGCTCAATGTTGATGATGATCAATAAATATAAGCAATGCATGGGAAGACTACATAAACAGGTTGCAACACAATTCGGTTCAAAGTTGTAAACTATTTCTAGTAAAACAATAAACAATATAAGACAAACAGTAGGCTAATTGCAGGTGCACCATGTGAGAGAGAGTGAGGATTGAGGAGTCCTGCAAAGGACACTCGGTAATCTTTCTTGAGGGTTTGCAGTCCTGAAAAGGACTGTTTCCTGACGACAGATAGTCAACCTGTTTGAAACGTCGAGCCACTCCAGCAACTCATCCTCTCCAAGCACTATAGTTCTCCTTAGAACTATAAGCTAAGAACGATAACCAACAGTCTTTTTCAAGACTATACCAACAGTCCTTTTTCAGGACTACAAACCCTCAAGAAAGATTACCGAGAGACCTTTTCAGGACTCCTCAATCCTCACTCTCTCTCACATGGTGCACCCGCAAGCCTACTGTATATCTACATCACCATGCAAGCCGATACTTACAAGCAGCATCTAATATTAGACAATACTTGAAGATTAACCCAATAAGTTACTGCTACTAGGGCACATGGGAACAAAAAGAAGGAGAAACTCACAGATTGTTTTCCGTCGATACCCGGAGCACAATCTTCCTTTTAAATCTATCTAAGGAGTAAAATTCAATTTGTAAAACAAATCTAACTAAAATGCTCCAAAAGTTGTTTTCTGAATCATCATGTTTGTAAAGCTATTATAAACATAAAGAGGGTTATCTTACCAGTAAATCTAAATTATGTCTACGCATTGTAAACATAACATTAAAACTAAAGATTAGAACAGCATTGATGCCCCTACAGGTCTACATTAAAAACAGATAAAATCATCTTATCAGTACAAAAAAACTCATGTCAATACAAAAATTAAAAAAACAATCCATAACAGCAACCATACCCCTACATTACAAAAATGGATTATGTGATAACATGCACCTAAAGAGAAGGTTGAGTTCTGGGGAGAGGTGAAAAATAATTTGTGAGCGTTATCATTCTTATTATGCAAGTGTGGTAGAACATCAGATAAGACATGTTCCCTGAAAAGCATGGCTCTTCAAATGCCTTCATATTCTAAATATGTCATGTAACATCGTAAAACTCAGGGGGTAGGATTTTTACGGCACATGTTCCTTTAGTCCCATATACATCTTTCTGTGTACAGTGTTTTTAACTTTACCAAGACTTGGCCAAATTTCTTATCATTTTGATGATTCCAGAACCTTGCAATACACACAAATTCTTATATGCTAGATGATCAACCTTTTCTGGTCGATTCCACACCGTTTCTTTCACAATGCAATCACATGACCAGAACTCAACTTCATCTTTAAAGCATTGACCATTTTTAAGCCCTAGTAGACAAGCTTTCATCCACCGCTATGGGATTTCAGAAGCAAAGTGATTCCATCATTCTTCATACAGTTCCTTGCAACCTCCTGCCTCCCTCCCTCAACATCACTGCGGCGGCGAAGATAGGTCACAACGAATACCCAGATCTTTTTTTATCCAAATAAAATATTACATCTTTCTTGGCCAGAAATATATTTCAAATTCAATAACCAAAGCATCATCCTATCCAATATCATGTCCAGCATTTAAGTATTCTCTGAGGCTATCATCCCCATAACCACAGACTCTACCCACTGGACAAATATTCCCTACTAGGATAATGGCCCCTTGACACCTTAAAGATAAACTCCAGTTCTGGTAAAAAAAAAAAAAATTAATTCTCACAGAATCAAACGAAACTTACACTGAATGTTCAAGATTACAAATAAATGACATGTGCCATTCAATTTTGGAAGAAAATGTATACTGGCCGAGTAATGAGCATAGAAAGACAAGGACGTCAAGGTAGTACTAGCCCCGACACCATATGTGTTGTCCCATATATAGCTTTCTGTGTACAGTGCTTGTTACTTTACCAAGACTCGGCCAAATTTATTATGATTTTGATGACTCCAGAACCTTGCAGTACACACCAATACTTACATGTACATGCTACATGATCAACTGTTTTTGATCCATTCCACACCTTTCCTTTCACAATGCAATCGCATTACCAGTACTAAATTTTATCTTTAATTAGATATCCATCGGCAGTCAACCCAGATACCCTAGGGCTACAGCAGTTTATCCCAGTCGATGCCATTTACAAAGTCAAAGGCATATTGGGATGTGGATAGCTAAATCATTGATTCGGTTGGGCATGAGCCATAGTTTTCCTCATAGCATTTATCTACAAGTTCTCGGTGACCCAAGGGCACTTCTCTCACCGTCATTCTCCAACGTTGACATTTCTCTTTCAAGTCCCGAAAGCTTGCTACCAGGGAGTAGAATAGAATAATAATAATAATAATAATATTTAATTTTTATATAGCACTTAATACGAATGTCTCTAAGCTCTTTACAAATATACTATTACCCCCGTCATTGGCTTCAGTGCTTGCCCGCACACAACCTGTGCACAATCTCCACTCCCTGGGGTGCATTCCAGCCAGGCGTTACATGAGGCTCAAAAACTGTTTGACCGACAATGACGGTCGCATCCTACGGGGTACCCATTTAACACCTGGGTGGAGAGTAGCAAGTGCAGGTTAATATCTTGCCAAAGGATATTAGTGCCGGTGTCAGGATTCGAATGAAGTCCGCAGTTCAGTTCCTCATAGCATAGTATGGGTTGTAGGTATGATAAAGACTCCGCTCTTCAGTTCCTCATAGCATAGTATGGGTTGTAGGTATGATAAAGACTCCGTTCTTCAGTTCCTCATAGCATAGTATGGGTTGTAGGTATGATAAAGACTCCGCTCTTCAGTTCCTCATAGCATAGTATGGGTTGGAGGTATGATAAAGACTCCGCTCTTCAGTTCCTCATAGCATAGTATGGGTTGTAGGTATGATAAAGACTCCGCTCTTCAGTTCCTCATAGCATAGTATGGGTTGTAGGTATGATAAAGACTCCGCTCTTCAGTTCCTCATAGCATAGTATGGGTTGCAGGTATGATAAAGACTCCGCTCTTCAGTTCCTCATAGCATAGTATGGGTTGTAGGTATGATAAAGACTCCGCTCTTCAGTTCCTCATAGCATAGTATGGGTTGTAGGTATGATAAAGACTGCGCTCTTCAGTTCCTCATAGCATAGTATGGGTTGTAGGTATGATAAAGACTCCGCTCTTCAGTTCCTCATAGCATAGTATGGGTTGTAGGTGACCCAAGGAGACTTCTCGCCCTCGTCTTTATTCTTGGATAGGAAGAGGGACTTGTATACTTCGGTCTTCTTAGAGTTATACTCTGGTCTAGTGGTGGATGGGTCTAAGTCTTGCTTGTGTGACCTGCCTGGGACATCCTCAGGTTTTCCAGTGATTACTCCAGTGGCGGTGCCTTCCTTTTTACCTGGTATGAATTTCTTGTTGAGGCTGATGGCCTTGGTGGACTGTTTATCACTGCTGCTATCACTATGTGCGCTAGGTGCTCCTGCTGGTAAGAAAATAAAATTGGATATAAATTTAGTCAAAGGTAGTGCATTAATTACGTATTAATTGAGTATTTTCGCTATATTATCTATTAGTGACAGTGGTACTATCCTCGGTATAAATTGCTTCATTGTATGAATTGTATAAATTGCTTTATTATACGGAAAGAGGCTTTAAACTAACGTCCTAACATAATGAACTGATCGCAACTAATATTCAACCACTTCATCCTTTCCTTCCTAAAGCTAGGGTAATAAAGTCCAAAGCTCTTTGGAAGCGCATAGAGAATTTATTTCATAACGTATTATGCGCTATACAAGAACTGAACTATTATTATTATTATTAATGAATTCTTTAAAATAACAAGCCAAATAACAATACAGGAAATAACTACTAACAATTTACTGACATTGTTAATTGCACAAACACAACGCCTCTATGCTATCGTCGATCCAACAGTAAAAGTACTAAGAGAGGACCAGTAACTACGACCTTTCACATGCATTGCCTGGCTGAAATCATCGAATGACGATGGAAACGCCATTAATCACAACAACAACAACAACAGCTTTGTTGATGTATTCAAAGGAAGGAGATGAAGGCAATAAAATATTTTAAAAAGAAAATAAAGGAAGAGCAATTTTGAGAGGAAAAGAAGGATCAAAGAGACAAGGATAGACAGGGGTGATAGTGAGCACTAAAAAAAAAAAAAGTTTTTTTATTTTCCCCTCAACCCTGCCCCCCTTGAGTAAAAAAAAAAAAGAGGATTTGCGGGGAAAAAATGGCATCTAACAACATTTCCCCCATTCGAGTAAGAAAATTGGGAGAAAAAAATAGGGTAAAAAAGGGAAGAATAGAGAAAATAAGAGGGAAACCGGGAAAATCAGGATAAAAAGGGAAGAAAAAAAAATTGGTTAAAAAAAAAAATATAAAAAAAATATCTGGATTTTTTTTTTTTTTTTTTTAAATCGGGAAGAAAGAAAAATTTGGGAAAAATAAAAAAAATCGGGAAACCAATTTAAATCAGGTTTTTATCAGGCCTGGATAGAGAGAGGAGAGATATAGATATACAGTCAAACCTGTCAATAACGACTGCCCAAGAGAAAGACAAAAAGTGGTCTTTGTAGACAGGTTCCTTTAGTACATGTTTCATCAAGAAACAAAAAAAAAGCCTATACCGGTAAAACAAATGCAGGGGTGATAGTGAGCACTAAAACAAGAAAAGGTTTTTTCTTTTCCCCTCAACCACGCCCCCCCTTGAGTAAAAAAAAAAAGAGAGAGGATTCGCAGGGAAAAAGTAGCATCTAACAACATTTCCCCCTTTCGAGTAAGAAAATTCGGAAAAAAATAGGGCAAAATAGGGAAGAATAGAGAAAATAAGGGGAAAATCTGGAAAATCAGGATAAAATAGGGAAGAAAGAAAATTGGTAAAAAAAAAAAAAAAAATCTGAAAAAAATCAGAAAAATCAGGAAACAGATTTAAATCAGGTTTTTATCAGGCCTGCAAATGTCAACTGACGTCAACCTTGACCTACTAGCCCCAAAATGTAAATGGATCATCTTCCTATAGTAATACCGTCACCATGTTTAGATATTGCTATAGCAGGGCTAAAAACCTTAAATTTCAGAAATTGACCTCCGTGACCTTTGACCCATTTACTTTTAATCTAATGAGACTATCTTCCTATGGTGATACATACTATCACCAAGTTTGAGGCTAATAGTTTGAATGGTTCTTATTAAAGATATCGCAATACCAAGGATAAAACCTTAACTTTCAGAAATTTACCTCTATGAACTTTGACCATTGATCTAATAGCCCAAAATCTAATCAGATCATCTTCTTTAATATGGCATTACATATATTGTCACCAAGTTTGAGCCTCCAACCTTGATTGGCTTTTGAGATATTGTGATACCGAGGCCGATACCTATAATTTCATCAGTTAACCACTGTGACCTTTGACCCACACTGTAGTTACTCAAAAAAAATCTAATCAGATTGTCTTCCTATGGGGGTAAATAGTAAGCGCCATGAGCACCGAAAGGTGGACCTGTGCGCTATACAAGTAGCCACTATTATTATTATTATTATTATTAATACTTTCATCAAGTTTGAAGTTCATATCTCAAGTGGTTCTTGAGTTATCCCATTTTAACGAGAAAGCGGACATATGGACGGACGGACTGACAACTCGCAAACATAATGCCTCCGCCCCCACCTTCGAGGGGCAGAGTCATAACAATAGATGGATATCTCTGATGGTCATTTAGTCTAGGAAAACTGAGCCTATGCTCTAGCACAAGAACTAGGCTGCAAGCACAGACCCTAATTTGACACTTTATCAAAAAATCATTGTGCTTTGAGAGAAGCCTAGCCCAGCTACCTACTGGTTGTGTCAGCCACAGTGCATGGCCTATGGTAGTCTTATAGTGCAGACTCACTTTTAAGACTGACCAGGGTTTGTGCTTGCAGACTACACAAGAACAGCACCTGACTGGGCTGTGATTCAATCAAGGATTGGAATAGAAATTCAATTTCATCTTACCACTTTTTGTTTCAGCCTGCTCTTTTACACCATCCACTTTCCTCTTTTGGGCCTTTTTCGCTTTCTACAAATAAGAGATAGAAATAACTCAAATTTAAAAAAAAACTCTTAAAAGGTAATACAAAGTTTTGGGGAATTTTGAAAATTGGGTGGATAGTGATTCTTTACAATTTTGATAATTTGGATACCCATGTGGATGTATTATAAGCACTAGAAAATTTAGCCCCTAAAACCCTTCTGCTCTCGAGAAAAATTGAATATAAAAATTTACTGGTGCTCCCGGTAAATGTTGATAAATGTTGAATATCGACTACGGCCGTACAATGGTAGCTGCGACAATGAAAATCTCAGAATATGTAATTGTGATATATGATTTCCAAACAGGAATAGCTAATCAGTCGATTTTAGTCAAGAAACATTGTTGTAAAGCTTACTTAATATATTGACCTTGAGAGGGAGCTATACAACATATAGAGTTTATTATTTAAAATTTCACAACTTTGAACTCGATTTCAACTGCGACAACGATCAATGAATACGCATATGTTTCCAATATGTTCATTTGAACCAAATTCATGACCTCATACCAAAACTTTGTATTACCTTTAACAATATAAAATAAGAAGGAAGAGAGGAGAAAAATACAGAAGAGAAACAGAGGATGCAAAAGAAGAGAATAATAATAATCTTGAGATAACGAAAAAGGGGGCTGGAGGACTAACAGGCTGGTGGATGGACAGACAGAAAACCTGAACACATATTCCTCTGGTACTACCTTTGAAAGGCAGGGGCATGAAAATGAATGTCAAAAACATCTAAAGAAAGATAAATACTGAAAAAGCAAGCAATTTAATACTGAACAAGAAGAGTAGAAAACTAGACCCTTGATCGTCCCAACAATACACAAGTGTTCTTGAAGAAATATTTATTCATAGGAGTACTAATAAGTTGTTTAAGGTTATAATTGTCATAATGATATTCAACATCCTTACTATGATCGGAGAGATATATTGTGATGATGATGATGATGACGATAACAATGATAATACAATAACAAATGATGTTGAAATTAACAGTAATCATACAAATGGTGATGATGACGATGACGATATCAAAGAATGCAAAATTTAAGAAAACCCAAATTATTGATTTTTGTATCAATATTTGTCTATAAACACATTTTTTTTTTTTTTTTTTTTTTGGGGGGGGGGGGGGGGGGGGGTGGGAGAATCTTTTCAGGAGTGTGTCTTATATGGCATCCTCTTTCACATTATGATACAATTTAAGTGAAATTTTGCCATCAAATGTTTGGGGCTCTTACTTTTTAGAGGGGCTTTAAAGAACTTTTTAAATACCTTTTCTGCTTTGGCAAGTGCTCTTCTCTTATTCATTTTTTCTGTCAGGATTTTGACATCTTCTTCAGATCCATTGATGAGGATTCCATCTTCTATTGACAAATCTTTGCCACACTACAAAAAAAAAGAGATAAAATAGTTTAGCCAATCTAAATAATAACTAAAATTACTTGGAGGAATGCACTAAAAGAATGTAGAGGTGCCGTGGTCGAGTGATTATGTAACTGGACTGTAGATGACAAGGTCCGCGGTTCAAGTCCCGCGGCGGCACTAATGTCCTTTGGCAAGACTCTGAGAAACATATAAAAGCAATTTGATATCAATTCATATCTTCACATTTCTGCTTGTACATGAATATATGCAATTATAGCACTTTTTTGATGACATGCGCATACTAATTGTTATGTAACACCTTACAGGTATATCCGATTTTGACGAAAATGGTATCAAAATGTGCGCAAGACTTGAGGGGAAAAAGTCATGAAACAACAATTCAAAATTCCAAGCGGTTGCGGCGCGATCTCTGAAAATGTCAAGGGGGGGGGCCTCCCAGCCCCCCCCCCCCCAGTACAGTAAGGGTTAAAGATACTACATGAGCATTTGTCTACATCAATAACCCACTTCTTGTAATGGCCAAAATTAAACTGATTGAATCTTTGCGCAGCATAAAACGTACGACCATTTGGTACGACCATTCGGTACAACAGTCTGAAAAATCAGACTATTACTTACTGGCTATATAGCTCCTAAGTCGATTCAACAACTAATAGTCGTTATTTTCCCACTTAGAGACATTTTCAAGTCCCCTTTTTTTAGGGAAGTTCTAAATTAGTATTGTCTTCCAAATGCCGTTGAAATTTACCTTTTTTATTTTTGGGGCCTGCAAATGGGACATAGTACCTTTAACTTACCTTATGACACACATCTGATTTGACTTCTTTGAAAGCTTTTTCTGAAACCACACATCCACAGTGCCAGATAAAACAAAACCTTATGGGAAGAAGGGAAAAAAAGAAAATAGCCACATACGACACATCATGTATTGTGATAATTTGCAGTTCAAATGATGTTCTTGCTCATATCAACCCTTGGAAATCATCCCCTAATGGCCTTTCATACTAACATAGTAATGCAGGGTATAAAATGGCGTCTAAAATACCCCATTTGACAGATTTTTAAAATCCGGCGTCGATATACCTGGCACTTGGCCACCCAGAATATGCTTGCAAGATTTTGAGCAAAACAAATTGGGGGCTAAAAGCGTTCTGAAAACTGACGTCATAGTCAACTTGTGTTATAATTGGGTGGGAGCCAACTGGAATCTGTATTGTGCCATTCTTTCAATTGGGATTTACTCCAAACGTTTTTTGTAAACATATACTGTGTTTAGTATCCTTTGAAAGAGCATTTCATTGAAGTCATTGCTATGCATACGTAATGTAGTACAAGCATGACGTGTTAAAGTGTTATGGAATGCATGGTAAACTCATTCTTTGGGCGATAAATTCATGATGACGTCATCAAATTCAACCAAATCTGGCAGACGTGTCAAGTACATGTACATGCACATGTCTGCCAAGTTTCATAGACCTACATTGTAGGTATATAAACTTAGTAATTTCAAAGCAAGATGTAGTAATTTTTTTTTGTGTAGTAATGGTTTATTGAAATAAAATCAATCACGGCTCAAAAGCCAAATTACAGGTTTTGTACTATAGTAAAATCAAACATCAAAATTACAGGAAACAAAATTGGTAATAAGATGGACATGTAATAATCAAAGCAATGAGATCATAATGACAAAGATTAAGTACAAATAACATAAATTATTTCTTACAGGCAGTGCCAGTTAGCACTCGTTGACTACACCACTACACCATACTACTATTGATATCATTATTATTATTATTATCATTATTTTTACTATTTTCAGTATCAACATTATGATAACAATAATTTATATCAATATCGTTACTATAATTACTATTCACAATGGTAAATATCAAATAGTTTACACAAAATATTGCACTTAAATCAAGTTCAAAGTACATACAAATTTCAAATTACATAAAAATTATTTTAAACAGTAAAAGGGCAATTAAATCTATAAGGGTTATATTGCAATGTAATAAACAGATAAAGTTACTTCAGAATTTTCAGAATTTTCTGCTACTACTACTACTACTGCTACTAAAAGCATTCATGATTTTCAACAGTAATTTTTTCACAAAGTCAGTCAGTCAAAGGGTATATTTTTTTTTAATTTGGCTGAAAGGGATATATCTTGAAATATTTAAATTTAAAAAAACGGTACAGGCATGATGGAGCTACATTGAACGGCCACACAAACAGAGCCTTTTAAAAACTTTAGAGGGCGCTATTTATATCATGTGTGACCCTTGGTGCCCTTCATTTGGCAGGGGTGTTTGCATGCACTAATAATATAAAGATACTCTGAAGAAGAAAAAGGAATTGATGGGAGAAATTTATTGCAATTTTTCATTTTAGGGGTCACTATTTGAAGAACGATTTTTGATACAGTTTTGAATTTAGAGCATGAAGATGACATTTTGACCGGCAGGTTGTTCAGCGCCGATAAACGAGCGATTAAGGATAGTGGAGATAGGTATGCCAAAAGAAAGGCATAAAGTGGCCCTAAACGGACAAAATAGCGTTTGGACGGTCACGCATGAGAGATATCGGGAAATAAATAGCTCAGTGACCTTGATGGGATGCTAGTGACTATGCCTACGAAAACTTGGAAGGAATCAGGATAAAGGAAGAGACCTACATGTACTGGTAGGTAGGGACTACGTGTAAACCGAATGGGATTGGGGGAAGTAGATCAAGAATAAGAAGAAGAACTCAGACCGCAAACGAAAACAAGGCATCGACAGAGGACATCATTACAATTATCAACTCGTTCCAGTATTTTTTTCATTATCAGAACATTCTTTCATCTTTAATCAAATATGGGCTGAGATAACTCAGCCTTGAATCCATAACAACCAATATTACAAAAGTGTATTGAACCAAAATAGGGACTTTTAGATTTGCGTGGATTGATACGTGTGACATCGATTCAAGGCAGTGCATTAAAAGGACGTCGATCGTAGCAATCCACATTGTCTTTGTGCGAATCTAAAAGTCCCTAATGTGTAGTCCATCAGAAAAACCATTTTATCTATAAATGAGGAAACTCACCTGTACTTTCCATTCATCTCTAATCCAGTTACAGGGCATATATACGGAGCAGTATGTGTGTCTACATAGCCATCACCTTTCTCTCCCTTCTGACCTTGGTATGCTGGATTGTCTGTCAAGACAAGCTGTTTCACATCCTGGTTTAAAGATAAAGTTGAGTTCTGGTCATGCGATTCATTGTGAAAGATACAGTTAGAAAAGGTTGATCATCTAGCATATAAGTATTCGTGTGTATTGCAAGGTTCTGGAATCATCAAAATGATAAGAAATTTGGCCTAGTCTTGGTAAAGTTACAAGCACTGTACACAGAAGGATGTATATGGGACTACACGAACATGTTGCGTAAAAATCCGCCCCGATTTTTACGATGTTACATGGCATATTTAGAACTTGAAGGCATTTGAAGAGCCATGCTTTTCAGGGAACATTTTTTATCTGATGTTCTTCCACCCTTGCATAATTATAATGATAATGCTCACAAATTATTTTTTACCTCTTCTCAGAACTCAACCTTCTCTTTAAACAGACAATTGGGTACATGATTTGTGACACACACCGGTATGTCAAAATTCATATGATTACAATATGGCAGGATATAAAAGTTACAAGGTCAAATGAAAAACAAAATGCTCCTGAGTTGTAACTGTATTCACAGAAGTATTTAAATGTCTGTGTACACTTGCAGTGCTTTGCAATGTTTGGTATTTTAGCAAGACTTTGTCAATTTGCTATCATTGTAATAATCAGACAAACATAAAATGTAGAAAATATGGATATATTGTATATACTTGCTACCTATCCACTTGGAATAACTCCTTTCAAAATATAACTATAGTTCACAATAAAGTTGTAAGAACTCAAAGTACTCATATTTGGTGAATAAATAAGGAGATAGATTAAGCTCCAAAATTTGCATTTCTCAACAATAATCCTAATCCTAAAAATACATGTTTGAAGTAAGGAAAAATAATTTAATTTTTGACCTTTTTGGAGACACATTTGGTATATGTTTTTAAAAAACAGTGCCATATACATTACATATTTGCTACCTTACCATCCACTTGGAAAAACTCCTTTAAAAATATAACCATACAAAATTATGACCAGGGGGGTGTTTCACAAAACTTTTCATCAATGACAATTGACAGTTTGTGTTATAAGCTACTGAAATCCTTGCTTCTGATTGGTTATCAGCAGATTTGTCACTGATTTTTGTCATTTGTCATTGACAAAAAGCTTTGTGAAACGGGTCTCAGTACTCAAATGCTTAAAGAGAATCAGAGAAGAATCTGAACTTTGAAGCAACAGAAACATTAATTGATATTCATGCTGAACATTTTCTTTTAATATCATCTTTTCAGCATAAACCTCAGATGTATCTCTCGATTGGTGGGACTTTGGGCGGGCACGATAGGAGGGGGCCCTGCTGATATGACTTTACCTTGAGACTCTTGATGTGTAGTGCTGACTCAGATTTAGATTTATCAAGTAAACATTCAAGTACTGCCTCCTTGTTGTATAACCTACATGTACAGTACATGCAAGAAAGAAAACAAAAATTCTCAAATCAGAAAGCTGACAAGTTATGTTTTTTGAAGGGAGGAGGGGTTGTTTAATGGGAGAAAGCTGACATTTATTTTCGCTACTGCTTCCTTATATCAAAATGGTCAAATGTTTTTAAAATAAAGAATACACAAACACATAACGGAGGTGCAATAGCTGAGTGGTAGAATAGTGGTCTCGTAACCGGGAGATCCCAGGTTCAAAACCAAGTCAATGTGCACAGTGCTGGTGCCCTTTGGTAAATCATTAGTTATAGTCCCCATTTCTAAGTCCCTTGGAGAGGACCTAAAGCCGTGGGTTCCCTGGTTGCTTTAATACTTAAAAGTATACACATGCTTTCTTAGCAGTCAGGTCCAAACAAATACAACACAATAAACTGATAATATTCATGAAAGTAATTTGGTAGAAGATTATTTTGTCATGTTTTCATCTGTTATGTTCATTTAAATCTACATTTTCTCTTAACATTAGGCAAGATGAATGTGACTTTGCCTCTAATAGCCTCCACCTACATTCAGTTAAGACTACAAGTACATGTACATATTGTACAGTGTGCAACAACAGTAAAGTACACCCTGAGCAAAAGTGGAATGTTGCAATACAATATTTTTTTAAGTGGTATTAACAATGCAAATTTTAAGAGATGATAACTTTGACATTGTGTGATATATTTTGAAGGTACAAAATATCAATAAAAAAAGTTAACCAACCTTCCTAATTCACAAGCCACCATTGGCTGTCTAAGTTTCTCTTGTGTGAGGGCACAATGGTGCCATCTTGCTACTCTCTCCATGTTCTGATCAGCCTGAAATAAGTGAATGGAAGTAACTGTTAAACAAGCCAATGTTTCATTATTATTGTTATATTTCCCTTTCTTTTTCAAACAGAAGATCTGACAAAATGCATTTCCACGATTAAATATTAAAAAAATAACAAATAGTCTTAAAACTGGGTTTTGGCAAGAAGTTTGGTAAGAATCTATCAGTCGGTTCTCGAGATAACGCGATCACGAGAACGGGACGTACGGACAGACGGACGGACAACCCAAAACGGAGGCATACAAATTATTCTGTACGTTTGCATTAAATTATTTGGTACGTACGCTATAATATTCCGTACGTAAGTGACACGCTTTGCATGCATCCAACTATACCCGTGTAGTTGTGAAGACAACGATTGCAGTTTCTCCAACACAAAAACTGCAACTTCCAAAATGTCTGAGCGTCTTGTTAGACAAAGTTTTTTGACTTAGATGTCTAACACTCAGTAGAATTTTATGTTTTGATGACAAAAAGTACAAAATTTCTTTCTGGGAGAATCCCAACTCAAAATAGAGACAGGCAAGGGCTTCCCGTCTTTCTCTAGTGTTAAAGACCAAGTTTTGGGTAAATCTTAAAAAGTTGATATTAAAATACAGTGGGTAGACATGCGTGCGCATATTTATTAACACTATCGCACAGAATAATTTATTGCGTATACGTAAAGAATTTTTTTTTTTCGTACGTACAGAATATTATTGCGTAGGGGTCTACGTACAGAATATTTTAATGCGTACGTACCGAATATTGTCTGGTACGTACGGAATAATATCTTGTAGACCTACGTACGGAATAAATTTAAAAAATTGGTTAAAAAAATGGCATGTTTGGGGCTTTGTACAATAGTGTGTGGTGTGTACATGTATAGACTCTATGTGTGTATAGAACTGCCTCTCAGCAAGTATGCATAATTGCTAGAGCGAGGTCAATACGCATTAGTATTGACTCTATGCTTTGCTGGAGTGGGTGGGTAGGTAGTAACTAGTATAGGCGGTAGGACCACTCCAGCAAAGCATAGAGAGTCAATGCTAATGCGTATTGACCTTCAGCAAAGCACTACGTGTTAATAGGCAGCATTTGAATACACGAATAGTTAATACACTAAAACACATGGATGCACACAATCATGCCGATGCGGCTGATCGGCAAGTTTAACAGTGGACTCACAATTTGAATTTTTAAATTATTCTTTCTAACATCGGAAAGCTAAAAAATTTGTATTTAACTGCTATTTAGGTGTCATCAATTGTCACTAAAGTACCGATTTTGAGTGAAATCAGTTGAGTTTTGTACAGTGGTGTTTGAAATGTTGAAAATCAAAAGCACAGCTTTTACTACACAGCCAGGATAGTGATGCTCCTATGTGTGAAGCAGGACCCGATTATTAACATAACAAGCGACGAAAGTCACGAAACGTTACCTTTTCGGGTTTTCTCTTTGTCCTGACGAGATCCTGACGGCCAGGAATACTTCCCCCATCTCCTCCCATCCTCAAATACAATCTTTTTACAAGCTAAATTAGTCTGAAATTCAACAACACGCAGCTTTTTGATCGGGGTGTTGGATTGTGTTGCGCGTTGCGTGACCGTACCAACATGTACATTCGCTCCTGCAAGCAAGCTTAAAACTAGCGACCATTCCAATAAGAGTGGTTATAGAGTCTCCAAAACGTCCAATTGAAAAGGAAAAATAATTGTTTACACGTCTCGGGTGACGGTATACGGCAAGAGGAATAAAAGATTAGATTTGTATGGTTTTAAACTAAATAATGAACTACATTATTTTAAAGTTGGAATCTTCTTTTTTTTTACTCTAGCTGGTATAAGTCACAAGCCGGAACTTCTTGTCTGGGTCTTATTGTTTTCAAGATTGAAGTTAGGACTCAAACCGCCAAATCAGAAGGCTTATCCGCACTGTACATAATTATGTAAACAATAATGGCTAAAATACGTTTTCAAATTTGTGTGGCCATGCCTTGAACCATAATGCATGGCCCTGCAGAGAATTTTTTCCTGTTGGGGGCCGGGGGGAATTCAATGAATTTTTGACAATTTATTGCATTTCCTTCGTTTTTGGGGGATTTGTGGAAGGGCCGGGCCGCGTACCCTAGCAAACACTGCGTACAGTCATGATTCAGGGGCTAAGCAATGGCCTCGTTACTGTGAGGCCCCAGGATAAAAATCGTGTCGATCAGCTATATATTAGTGCCCTTTTGTGAGGCATTAATCCTCATTACTGTCAATTATGACTTAATGACGTAGGTCCCTTAGCTGATTAGCATAGTAGCACACATATGATTTAACAGTCACGCAAAACAAACACTCGCAAATTAATATTCAATAACATCTGAGAATGTATGCCATTATCTAGATCTATTAGAAATAAATAATTTTTTTAATCCTTCCCTAAACTGGGGTAAAAATAAATATTCCACCATTATGACCAACAGTGTAGTTAAGGCACATGAATATAAATCGAACAAATATGCCCCATTAGTTACCGATATACCGACTTCAAACTATTATTGTACGCAGATGACAGCGTACTACTCTATTCAAATCCTGGTCCTAAATATATTGAGGAAAAGCTCAGAGCTGTCTACGTGTGTCGATTGGATAACTGATAATAAGCTTTCTTTACACTTAGGAAAAACAGAAATCATTTTATTTTGTTCTAAAAGTAGTTCTAAAAAGTAATTTGAATTCAAAGTGACACACAATAATCAAGCAATCAAGAGAAAAGAGTCTGTGAGAAGTATTTAGGCATTGAGTTGGCTAGCGCAATTTCATTTTCATCTTTAGTAGAATCAGTTGTAAAAAAAGCAAATTCTCGTCTGAAATTTGTGTACAGATATCAAAGTTGTATGGATTTAAAATCAAGACGTACACTCTGTTTTGCTCTTATTCAATGTTTATTTGACTATGCTAACCCAGTAACATAAACAAGTCATATCAAAAGAAGTTGAAGATTATACAGAACAAAATGGTGAGATTTATCAATTGTTCTGGTCCAAGAACTCATGTTGGCTACACCCGGCCCCCCCCCCCCCCACTCAGTGTTATTTAGGGTACGCATATGCTCGTACCCTCTTTTTGAAAGCACCCCCTATCTGAGGACTGCCAACATTTCCGAACCCCCCTTTCGCGGGCTTTTCGCGGGCTTTTCCTGCCTTGGAGACCCCCCTAAATTAGGAAAATTTCTCAATGTACCCCCCTAAATTCGGAATAATTTCTCAGGAGTCCAAAGAGATGAGAGAGAAAAAGAAAAACACCCCCTTTTTAAAGAAATCTCTGGGTGAAAAGTCAAATACACCCCTTTTTTTACAAATCTCGGGCCGGACTTTGTCGCACGAAAAGTACCCCTTTACCGGACATTTTGGCAACACGCATGCGGTCATTCCGACCTCTGAGTGGGGGGGCCGGGTGGCTACAGCGAACTTTCTAAAGCTGGTTTTCTTGAAGTCGACCAAAGATCAAAACAACTCGTATTGCATCACGTGCATAAAATATATCATACTAGGTGGAATCATTATATTCGATCCAACTTCGATCTTGTTACTGACGTACATGATTATAATACAAGAAATAGCCGATTTAACTTTAACTTACCAGAAAGAGTACGTAGTATTGGAAATTCGTTTTATTACAATGCCATAAAACATTGGAATTCCCTTCCCAATGGTGTAAAAGAAATAGGAAACTATGATCATTTTAAGAGGAAATTAAAGGAATACCTAATACTTGACAGTCAGAGAAGAGAAGTGAATGACATGTTATATGATTGAAATTTTTATTCTTCTGTCGGTTCATACTTTTTCATGTTGTATACTTATGTTTTCGTACGTTATAGAAATTCTACAAATTAATCATTATTTTCCTCTTCTTCCTTCTCCTCTTTTTCTTCTTCTCCTTCTTCTTTTTCTTCTTGTACTTAATATCATTCTATCATCAGTTTAATGTTGTTATTATTATTATTATCTTTAATAAGTAGTTCTTTTAATTTTCTTATCTGTCTGTAAATATTACTATTTTAACTTATTAATTTTATACATGTCTGTAAGGGACCCCACTGGAAATAAGCTCTCGAGCTTTCGTGGGTTATCCTGTTCAAGCTGACTTCTTTTTTTATCTGTTATTATTGTATATTGTTGTATGTTGGAAGCTTGTCGAATAAAAATCAATCAATTATACAGGCTAATGGATATTCTGTGGTGTATCTTCCTTTGGGAATCGGCTCTAGAGGTCATATTTCGCCAGACAATGTGACGAGACTAAAGCAGCTGTTGAAATGAATTGGAAAACCTGTCCATTTGAAACAAGTTCGACAGAATCTATCCAAACTATATATTGTTTCTTCGTTTGTCATCTACTACTCAAAGAATGCCAATAAATGGGAAACCAAAATTCCTCTTCGCATTTCAAGTTTGTAAGGGATTAATTACTCACTCACACACACACACACACACACACACACACACACACACACACACAGACACATACACACACACACACATACACACACACACACACACAAATTGTTTAATACACCTTGTTACCCAGGCGCGGATCCAGGATTTCTTAGGGGAGGGGGCCCAACTTTTTTTTTTTTGCTCCCGAAAATTTGAAAATCGCGCCGGCCGAAAAGTCGCTCAGTGGGGGGGGGGGGGGGGGGGGGGGGGGGGGGGGGGGGGGGGGGGGGTAGTGAGCACATTTTTTTTTTTATCCTCAAAAAAATTTCAATTTGCACCCCCCCCCCCCTTGAGCGCCAGGGGGGGGGGGGGGCCCAACCCCAAAAAAAGGTAAAAATCACGTGATTTTACATGATTTTTTTCTCAAGGGGGGGGGGGCCGGGCCCCCCGGGCCCCCCCCCCCCCTGGATCCGCCACTGTTGTTACCAGTCTATAATATTTTCTTTCTATTGCTCGTCTCTGTTCATTGCCTGGCACTGACAGAATCCTCTATGTATTAAACATTAACTCAAATGACACTCTTATTATGTATGCTTACTACTTATTAAGTTGATATATCAAATCATTCAAATGAATTGGCAATAATTATTTAGCTCCTCTTATTTCATCTATAGCTAGGAATATCCATAGCTTCTCAGTTTTCACTATGCTGTAAAATTTGTTATTTTTATTTGTTATTGTTATATAACGTTATGTGCTTTTAATGCCCTGCAGTTTTCCAGTAAAATGTAATAGTCCTGGGCTATTGTATCTTCTCCTATGTTGTGCAAGTTTGAACAATAAAGTGATGTTTACAAAACTGAATGTATATTAATCATGTTCAGTTACAATGCCAACATCAATTATATTACTTAAATTCATTGAACTGGATCGTACATGGCAAATTATGATAACAATTTGAACTTTTATATCATATTGATGGAAGCTTATTGCAAATTTTGCAAGCATTAACCATAATATTGATTTTAAAATGTGTCCACACAGTGTGTGCGGGCAAGCACTGAATCCAATTACCTTTGTAATAGCGCTTAGAGACATTTGTATTAAGCGATATATAAGAATTAAATATTATTATTATTATTATTATTATTATTATTATTATTATTATTATTAACTGACATAAACAAAAAAAACATTGGATTCAACACTTGATTTGTTCAAATTGGTTATTTACAACGATAAGACAAAAATATATCACATTATTTTGAAAATGTGTCCATCTTTTACCGGCCTGCCTTTGAAAACATTTGATTGAACACTTATTTTGTTTCAAAAGGACACTCAGATGCACGTTTATAGGGAAAATATGAATTTTAATTTCTTTATGATGATTGCTTATTTGCATATTATGCAAACTGGGTACAACAACTGGACATCAACATGTGTCTCCTATGTTTGGTAACATTAAAAACATTAATTTGGGGCATTTGAATTATTTTGGTCGGTCGGGTATATATTGCAAAATGCACAATTCTGATATATGGATTTCTTTTCATGGCCGATGTTTATGAGCATACTATGTACAATTATATGACGTCATATCATTATTCAGATAATATCGTCAATGTGTTCACTGCAGTGGTGGATCCAGGGGGATCCCGGGGGTCCGGGCTCCCTCCCCTATAAAAAAAAGAAGCTAAAAATACGTTAATTGTTCCTTTTTTTGTTTAAAAGAAGAAGACGGGCCCCTTCCCTGGCCAAAAAAGGGGGGATGGGTGTTGATTTTGAAAAAATGGTTCTCACTAACCACTATCGGCCAGCGAGTTTTTCACATTTTCTCACGAATTGGGCCCCCTCTTTGGCTCCCTCCCTTGCCGCCGTGATCAAGGGATCCAATGAGCAGGGAGCACGCAGAAGGCGTAACCACTCTCTTTCCAGTTGGACAGGTACAGCCAATAGCAGTAAGAATATACAAGGAAAGGGCATTACACATGCACCATCATTTCAAGCTTTATCGAAAGCGCAGGCACGAAAAAGACAAAAGTGTTGCAAAAATCTGAGAATTGGACAGCTTTACCCAATACAAACGGGCATCGAAGAGGAATAGGCATTACAATCAACTCCATATTTGGTAGCGCTACCTTCCTTTGCATATTATTCTGGTACAGCCGATAGCATGTA